AGCCAGTATATCGAGTTCCGTTTGAGAGGATCTCCGATCGTGTGAAAGAGATGCGATACGCGTATGTACAAGTCTTGCTTCTCTTATGTAGAATCATGCAGTAACTATACTCTGCTGTCCTCTAGTGGAGCTAACAGTGATTGCAGTCTTTTGGGGGACAGATAAACGCACTTTCCGGGTCTATCCGGGAGCCAAACTCAGCTCCGACCGGTCAACATCATGGCGTTAGTAAGGCCAGGTTCTGCAGTTGCGGTGTTCTTCCAAAACCGCTTCACGTTTCCTCACACAGATAGTGAACAGAGAAGGATTACAACGTCTTTTAAAGGACAAACAACAAAGTGGGCCGAAGTTATACTGGACAACAGAAATGAAAACCACACCAAACAGGAAGGCGGTGTTTTCGAAACACCAATATACACGTCAGGATGGCCGAGCGGTCTAAGGCGCTGCGTTCAGGTCGCAGTCTCCCCTGGAGGCGTGGGTTCGAATCCCACTTCTGACAAAGACTTTTCTTGACTGAACTTTTAAGTTCACTTTTTGCATCCCCATATTTTTATAACGATAATTACCATCAACTCCACATATATATCATGTTTATATGACGATCTCTAATAACGATTAGACCGCGAGAAAGACTTTTCCATGAGGTTACAGAAGACGGGTGAAGAGCAGACTGAAACCCGTCGTCTTCTTGTCAAGCACAGAGATCTCTGCCGTTTCGTCTTTCAAAAAAAAAGAGAGACGTTTATCGACAGATTTACCAAGAATGAAACTAGCAAAAAAAAAAACATAAAACGGAAGGGTAAAAAAATGGAGCCCGTAGTCGGCAGGATTCGAACCTGCGCGGGGAGACCCCAATGGATTTCTAGTCCATCGCCTTAACCACTCGGCCACGACTACCCGCACATGCAGCATTTCTCTTGTGGGTTTCTCTTCTTGTGGGACGCGCAATCACGTCCGGTTCAATCGCACAGCCAGGGGTCCCTTCGATTGCCATGGCGACGATTGTTCCTGGGTTCTGAAGGCGACAGAACAGGAAGCAGGAAAATGTCTCTCAGAAAAAAAAAAATAGAAAAAGGTCCATGTCGCTCCAACCTCTCTCGGTTGATTGGCAGCTGCACCTTCTGAATGCACGATCTTCTTTTTCTCTCCGTGAAAGGGGCGCCCCTGAAAAAAGAAACGACATGAAAAAATATATATTTCTTATTAAAAACAAAACAAAAAAAACCCAAATAAATCGTTAAAAAGTGGCGTTCTTTTTTCTTCAATTCGTTATGGCTCAGATGTGGTGCAGCCCTGTGAGCTCACTTTCGGGATTCAGAATTCCAGAATTTAGATCTTCGTAAAAAATAATATATATATATATCTTTATGAGATGTAAATTTAGCCATCAATGCTATAATGCAATTTGATTAACTTAATTGCAAGCAGAAAGTAAAAGAAATCCCGGTCTACCAGAAGTGGGGTTCGAACCCACGCGGACATACGTCCATTGGATCTTAAGTCCAACGCCTTAACCACTCGGCCATCCTGGTGCCGCATGCCCGGTTAGCGGGGAACAGTGCTGTAGGACAGAGCCGGTGCGGGTGGTGCGCTGACGTGTGTCTGGGTGCTCTCCGTCCTCCGCTGTCTGAGAGTCCGCTCTGCCCGCTCGTCTTTATCCGCTCCGTTTCTATTCCTTTCTGCTGCGGTCGTGGGTGACGTCCAGCGCTGCACAGCTGCTGTCGCAAAGGTTTCGCGATCTTGGCTGGCCGCCGGGCTCCGCTATTGTTAACAAAAACAAAGTTATTGAGAAGTAATAAGGGGGCTCGATACGGCAGCGCTGATTGTTGCAAAATGTGAGATACCCGAAGAAGGCTCCACAGCCAAAACGTTGTGTTTCTTTCCTTCTCTTTTCAGCAGGAATAAACCTTTACTTTCTCCCTTTGCATAACATGAGACAGCCTGGCTGAAATTCAAGAAGCCTGCTTGTTCAGTAGCACTGCAAAGGAACAGGTAACGGGTTTATTCCTGTGCTGGCAAGAAAAGAAAGAAAACACAACGTTTTGGCTGTGGAGCCTTCTTCAGGTGTGCAGCCTACGCATGCTGACGCAGTTCCCTACTTGAACTACCTGTTCAGTAGCACTGATGCTTATGAGCGCCATGGGGGAAAACACTTTTTGGTGGGTTTAAACGAAGAAAGTATTTTAACAAAAAACATTTCTGAAAATTATTGAGACTGAAATAACACCAGACAGGTTAACCCAGAGTGGAGCATTCGTTGCATCGGTTTACATCTGGCAGCAAAAAGAAACCAGAGTGTAAAACCTATAACTGGGCAGCCTGTTACGGGCTCCTTGCTCTTTGTGGAAAGAAGACTGTGACTGTGACTGGAGGATCACTTCCGCTGTTTCTTAATTAAAAAATTAAGGTATCGGCTTCAACAATGCGCTCCACACTCCCACCACCCTCTGTGTAAAGAAGAGCCTCCTGTCCTGCCTGGAGGATCTCATCACCCTGTGTCCTGGGAGAATCCAGGGTATCGCCTTCAACAACGTGGCTGGGCGGCTTGTTCCACACCCCCACCACCCTCGGCGTGAAGAAGAGCCTCCTCTTTACTGCTTTAAGTGCACTTTCACACTGGAGGTACTTCACGATTGCGGTTACAAAGGGGTCTATTCACTTAACAAATCAATTTTTCTGGGCTTGCAATTAGTAATGATTCATTTCTGATCGTTGGCTTCTGGGAAAACTGGCCCTGGTGTGAGTGTGTGTGTCTGACTGTCTGCCCTGTAATGGACTGGCATGCCATCCGGGGCGTATCCTGCCCTGTGATAGACTTGCATGCCATCCGGGCGTATCCTGCCCTGTGAAAGACTGGCATGCCGTCTGGGGCGTATCTTGCCCTGTGATGGACTGGCATCCCGTCC